GTCTCAAAAAAAAGAGAGAAAGTATAAAATAGTATATCTGGATTGTCTTTAAGTTTTATTTCCAGTGACATTGAATATTTTTCTTTCTTTCTTTCTTTCTTTTTTTTTTTTTAAAATACCATGTCTTGCTCTGTCACCCAGACTGGAGTGCAGAGGCATGATCACTGTTCCTGGCAGCCTCTACCTCCTGGGCTCAAGCGATCCTCCCACCTCAGTCTCCCACGCCTGGCTAATTTTTGTATTTTTTGTAGAGATGGTGTTTGGCCATGTTGCCCAGGTTTATTTTTCCATTTGTTATGTTATTCTTCCATTTGTGTATAATATTCATATCTTTTGTTCATGTGTCTGCAATGGGAGTCTCTTTGAAGTACGGATCTCTATAGGTTGCAGATATGTACTCTGTCATAATTTTTGCAGCTGGAGATAACATTTATGTTTCCTTTTTTATTTTAATGTTACTTTTAATCATGGGGATTTTTTAGATTTGTTATCTGTTCAGGCTTGGTAGTCTTGTGCTTTGAATTGTTTTTTCCTGTTGCCTCAAAAGTTGAAGGAGGGTAAAATGAACTTGAAATACCCTGTTCTCTGCGTGTGGGTGTGTGCGTGCATGTGCGTATGCCCTTTAAATGTCTAATTGCTATTTGCTTATTTAACTCCCCTCAGGTTGCTAACCAGTCGTCTCACCACTGTTAAACAATGCTCCCTTTGCCCCATTCTGAGAAGTTGATATTTTGATAAACGTGCCTTTTACCTGCCACACTGATGCTTTATTTTGTATCATGTTCTTAGAGTTGAGACAGTTTGAGGTCTCAATTTTTTTTCTTTGCACGCAATATAGCTTTTGGAGATTCTTCTCTGCTGGCATAGTACTTAACATTTGTGAAGAGTTTACCCATCCCTACTCTTAGGAAGATTCTTAGTCGTCTTGCGGGCGTGTGTGTGTGTTTGTGTGTGTGTTTAAGATAATTCATGTTGGATGTTCATTGTGGATGGATCTGCTCATAGAGGGCTAACTTCTGCCTTCCTCTGGTATGATGTAGTTTAGCAAATGAGGTGAGATGCTAGGGACCATGGTCACTTTGGGAATCATTTTGGGTCAGACCTGGGTTCTAGTTTTAGCACCACTGCCTTTATCAGCCTTCTGTCATTTTTGTATAAATGTGATAATAGCTCTGTTGGTGGCTCAGGAACGCTTAGTCCTTTTTCCCTCCTTTGGGGTTCTGCAGCCTCCAAGCCACACCTGTTGTGCAGCTCCATCATTACCCCTCCACAGATAGAAGGCCACTGTATACTGTGTGAGAGGATGTGGCTTAGGCTGGAGTCCAAACGAGTCTCCCATTTACCTCCCTCAGCTTAAACTCTGTGGAGACCAGGATCTGCCAGCCCCGTGGAGGGTCAGGACCAGCTTCTCCACCCGCTGGCCAGTAGAGCAGAGAGGGACAGAGTGAGAGGTGCCTTCTCTCCCTGTCCCGAGGTTAGGTGGGTGGGCAAGGGTGGGGAAGTGGGGACGAAGGAAAACTGAAATGTTTCCTGCAACAGTTTCTTGCAATAGTTTCCTCTTCTGTGGTTTGAGGATGGGGGAAAAGTGTCACTGGGACAGCCCCACCCCTAGACCTCATGGGGTTATCCTGAGTTGTACAAAAATGGCCAAATGTGATGTAAGACTGGTAGTGCTTGTGCTCTGGGTTGTAAGTGGCAGGTGCATCAGGATACGTCATCTGAGTGGAGCATACCTCTTCTTGGATGAGTGGGGGTTTCTTCCTAGTTAATTCCGCAGTGTGGACTTGGCTAGTGTAGTTTTGTGTGTTGACGTTACCAAGGAGGGACTGAGGGCTTGGGGTTTAGGTCGTGGCTGTGAGAGTCTCTGATGGACATGGGGGTGGACCCCAGCATCTGAAGGCAGAATTGTTTCCTAGTTGGTCATGTGTCTTGGGTGGAAGAAGGTGAAGCAGCAGATGGTGAGGGAAGCCAGGTGCCCCATGGAGAATCCTTGCTCCGGAGCGCTGGCCTCTCTGCCACCTGCATCCCTATGAAATGTTCCCTGTAGGCTTTCCATGTTCTGCACACTTAATGGGTGTGAGCTGCAGGAAACCAGGGACCTTCACGTTGAGAGTCCCTGTGTCACCACAGGACAGTCATTTTGCAAAGGCCCCGAGCAGGGGAGCAGAGGTGAGCTACCAACACTGTGGAAAGCAGACAGACATGTTTGCTAATGAGCTGGTTTCTTTGTGGAGCTTTCATCGAGGAGGAAGGGGGATGTTTGACTTTTCTTACTGCTTCTGGAGAGTTCTTTACAGGGCTGGATTAAATGAGGTGAAAGGATCCCAAGGCATTCGATTCCATGCCTGACTAGCCCTCCCCAGTCCCTGAGGCCCAGCTCCCTGGAGGGTACAGCCTTATACTTTCCGGGCTCCTCTGGGAACCACGAGGAAGAGAGGGGGCAGATTGTCTTTTCCATAAAAAGGAACAGAGTTTCTACCACTTAGAACATGTTTCTGCCTCACAGGGCATTTCCAGCTGAACTGACAGTTCTCGGTGATAAATGTAGTTGAGTTTTAGGTTAAAAATTTTTTTTTCATCCTATATGCATTAATCGAGTCATGGATTTATGGTTGGGTAGCCCAACCCTCCCCTAAAGAGAGAGAGAGAGAGAGAGAGAGAGAGAGGAAAAAAAAAATTTAAAAAGCCAAACCATTGTCTGGGTATGGTGGCTCATGCAAGTAATGTCAACAATTTGGGAGGCCCTGCTGGCAGGAAGATTGCTTGAGGCCAGGAGTTTGAGACTACTTTGGGCAACGTAGTGAGACTCTTAGGCATAGTGAGACTCTACCTACACAAAAAATTAACAACCAACCCGTGCTTTTGGACCCTAATCTGTGAAACATAAGCTGGTAAATGTTAGCTAAAGCTACCATTAAGTTAGTTGCCTGCAAGGAGCCACTCTTTCCAAGTTTGTGTGCTGCACCACAGCTCACAGGCCCATCTACCTTTGTAGGATCCCCAAGGGGAGTGCTGCAGCCCTCGGTGCCGAAGCCGATACCTGATCTGCTGGGCATGGGTCTGGCGGCATGTCAGTATCACCAGGGGAACTTGTCAGAAATGCAGATTCAGGGCTCCAACACGGACTTCCTTATCAGAACCTTGTGTTGGGAGCTGGGATCTGTATTTAGAATAAGTGGTTCTGATGCTGCCAGCCAGGCTTTTCATGCCAGTGACGTTAGGGGCAAGTCACTAAGAGCCCTGCTTTAGGTGAGGATGCTGAGACCCCGAGAGAGTAGGGACTTGCATGGGCTGAGGTCATGTTGCTGAAGGAAGGCGCCTGTGTCTCTACCTGAGAGCTCCTTCTCTTCCTGCAGCCACTCTGTGTGGCCCAGTCAGTGTTCAGGCCTCCTGTATGTTCTTGTGTCCTGTAGAGTCCTTGGGCAATAGGTAGTTGTGTTCACACTCATTCTTAGAGGCGAGTTTTATGGATATGCTCTTCTGATGGTGGGGTGGTGGTAAGTGGGGAGGTGGGGATGGGGCAGCTGGGTAGCTGTCTGCCTGTCGTTCTCCCCTGCTGGTTTCTGAGGTCAGGCAGGCCAGGCTCTCCCAGCCCTCCTGCGAAGGAGGGGCCGGTGGGTGAGTGGTGGTGTCCAGGCTGTGCCTGTCAATTCTACACCGTGGGAGAGGTAGAGCGGTCATGGGATCTGTTTCCAGAGGAGTGTGGTTTCATGTCCCTTCTTGGCACTTCATTCTCAGAACATTGCAGACCAGCAACCAGCCTGCCGTGGCAGCCTCACCGGAAGGGGTTTTGCAAGTAGCCTCTCCGTGGAAGCTGGTTTCTCACTGGCGGATGTGGGTGGGTCACCTCCTCAGTTCCAGGGTGGCCTTGTCTGCTTTTGCCTTGGGCTGTGTTACTTTCCTCACCTGGGAAGTGGGAGGTGAGCAGGGGGCTGGCATGGGACCTCTGCCCCATAGACCTCTGATCCTGTCCCTACCTGTCCACTTGAGGCACTCCCTTCTTCCCCACTGTTCAGCCACTGCACTGGGGGCAGGGGACCATGGAGGACTTAGGGGTCCTCCTGGATTGCCACTGGGGTTCTAAAAGGAAAGCAGTAAAGGTAGGCCAGGCCCTCAGAAAGTCCCTCAGAAATAGCACCCTCCTGGCGTAGGACCTCTCAGGTTGCTTTGGAGGTTAGACACAGAGAAAAAACAGCAGCCCCACTCTTCACTCTGCAGTTCACAGGGTGTTCCTACCTAGGTGGTGTAGTACAAGCTTCATTACAGCCCTGGAGGACAAAGCTGTGGCCGTGGCGGGTTGAGGTGGGAAGGCGGATGGCAGGTGAGGGAGGGAGCGAGGGATGGCTGCTGGCTGCTGGCTGCTGTGGCCTTCCTCACCTCTTTGAAAGCTGAGCTTCAGAGGTTCTCAGGAAATGTTGCATGAATGAGTATGGGGCCCTCATCTTGACGTTTCTTCACTGGGCACAGCTGGATCATGTTCAGACTTGCCTGCGTGTTCATCTCCCAAACGTGACTCTTTGTGGTCAAGCCCCTGTTTCTTCTGTTGGCTCTGGTGGGTGGAAAGAACATGGGCTTTGGAGTCCCCTGTCCTTGGTTCCAGTCCTGGGCTGTCATTGCTCTGTTGTCCTTGGGCAAGTCATGTGACCTTTCTGAACTGTTTCCTCAACCATGAAGTGGAAAAAAATCAATTCCCAATTGAGAGGTGATGAGATCAATGTTTGGGAAGGCTCCAAGCAGAATTCCTGGTACTTAGAAGATACTTAAAAAGCATCTTTCTTCCTTCCTTCACAAATCTTCCTTATCATTTGTTTTATGGAGAGCCAATTTAACCTGAGTTTTGCATTACCTATACCTGGCCTCGGTAGTAGGCCTCTGCTTGGACCGGTAAAGGGACACGACAGAAATGATTGGGAGCTTTCTGAGATCTGCATATGAGCAGGTTTGGGAGAGAGATTTTAACGCCGAGCCTGCCGTCTCACCAGTCACACATTTCTCCGCAGATTCTGCTTCTCAGAAGATGCACTATTATAGATACTCTAACGCCAAGGTCAGCTGCTGGTACAAGTACCTCCTTTTCAGCTACAACATCATCTTCTGGGTAAGTGTATGGGAGCGGTCACATTCCCTTGTTTAGTCCTTCATTTAGTAAATTATGGTTTTTCACACACTCTAGATTTGCCAGACACTATGTGAGGCTCTGGGATAAGGTGGTGGGCAGGGTCAGTGAGCCCTACCCTCACAGAACCAGTGGCAACCATGGGGATGGGGGAAGGCCAAAGGCCGAGGGGATTGAAAGCCACAGTAAGGCCAACCCAGCCTTGGGGGTTCAGGAAGCCTTGGGGCCCTGGCCCAGATGCCTGTCTGTTTCCACCACCTGCCGCTGCCTGTTCCGAGCCTGGAAGTGCCCCAATGAGATAGCAGCAGCAAGGTACTTTGTGAGTATCTGACTGTGGGCCAGGTCCTGTTTTAGGTTCTGGGAGGTGATACCAGACAAGGCCAATAAAATCCTACCCTTGTAGTGCTTATGTGTAACCAAGAGCCATGTCAGCCCCCTGAGCAACAGAGCAGTGAGGGAAAAGCTCCTTGGCTAGGGTGCCCAGGGAAAGGCATTCTGTGGAGGTGACTTGTGGGCTGAAAACTGAGTACTAATGAAGAGGTGGCCAAGCAGGGGCCTGGGGAAGAACGCTCCAGTCAGAGAGAATGGCAGCTGCAAAGGGCCGGAGGCAGGAATGAGCTTTGTATGTACAAAGGACAAACAGAAGGCCATGTGGCTGGAACTGAGTAAGTGGGAGAAGGGACACAGGTAGGGATGGAGGTATGCAGGAGCCAGGCCACAGAGAGTCATACATGTCTCAATAAATAGTTGGAATGTTTTAATAATAGTTCTAATGCTTTAAATCATTATTAGAAGGCTTGTAAGTTGGGCGGTATGATCTGATTTTGGAGTGACTGCAGAGTGAGAGGATGGATCGTGGTACCAGGTGGTTCTGAGATAGGATTTGGGGTAGAAGGGTACATTTAAGTTATCTCGGCCGGGCGCGGTGGCTCAAGCCTGTAATCCCAGCACTTTGGGAGGCCGAGGCGGGTGGATCACGAGGTCAAGAGATCGAGACCATCCTGGTCAACATGGTGAAACCCCGTCTCTACTAAAAATACAAAAAATTAGCTAGGCATGGTGGCACGTGCCTGTAATCCCAGCTACTCAGGAGGTTGAGGCAGGAGAATTGCCTGAACCCAGGAGATGGAGGTTGCGGTGAGCCGAGATCGCGCCATTGCACTCCAGCCTGGGTAACAAGAGCGAAACTCCATCTCAAAAAAAAAAAAAAGTTATCTCATAGCCAGCCTCAGGGAGATACCATTTCCTTTGTCATTGACTGTCCTGGAGATGGAAGTCTTGGCCAGCCACCATCAGAGGAAGCCTGGACCAGATGAGAGCATGGAAGATGGATCTGTTGACTGTGAAGAGGAGAGGTGTGAATATTGAGCCCTAGGATGCTAGAGTTTTGGTCAAGGAATAAAGCCCACTCCCAAGTTGGCTGAGAGTGAGTGGCCTGAGATAAAAGGAAGACCAGGAGATTGTGTGTTATAGAAGCCTTTCAAGTGGAAAGGCACAGTCAGCCATGGTGCAGGGAGGCGAAGAAGGATGAGGACAAGACATTGGTAATGGCTTAGACAGAGTGGAGGTTGTCGATGACCTTGAGGAGACCACTGTGTGCTCTGGGTAGGGGATCGGGGTGGGTGGATGGAAACCCAGCTGGAGTTGGCTGAGGAGCCAATGGGAAGTAAGGAGGTGAAAGAGAAATGCTTACCTTAAAGAAGAGAAGAAAATCTGGACACTGGCTGGAGATAGTCAGTGGGTTAAGGGAGATATAGCATGTTTATTGCCAGTGGGATTGGCCCAGGGAGAGGCAGACATTGATTCTATGCAGGAGGGCCTGGAGACATGATCATGCACGGAGGCTTTTAAAACCATGAAACATAGTTTATGAGTATCTGTGTGGGGCTGGGCGGAGAAAGAAGGACAGAATGAGTGACCATGACGTCACATTTTGCTTCTACTGCAGATTTGGCATTTTCTAGTGGGACTGGAACTCTTGAAAACAAGGCAGACTTTACTAAGCCTTCTCTGCCTTGCAAGCTTGATTTTACAGCCTCATATCCTGGTGATTTATCTGAGTGTGTTTGGGGATTTTCTGTCCTAGATAAATAAGGTGGGATTCAATGGCTTGGTCCTTTAGCCCACGCCTTTTCCTGTGCTCAGATAACTTTGCACCAACAACCACATCTTTGTCCCTGAAATAGGGCATTGCTGGGTGTTTGCTGTGGTGCCTCTGGGTCTCTCTCAATGTGGGGGTCTGTGCTCTATCCTCATGATGTATGGCTTCTCAGAGCAGCATTGGTCCATGTCTGGTGAGCTCTCTGGCCTTACCTGGTGTTCCCCTCCACCATCCAGCACACCCAGCCAAGTGTATGGTGGAGGGTTGCTGGGCTAGGCAGGCAGTCTGACACTTGGGCACTTGGATACCCAGACGCTCCCCTCTCTGGGTGTGCTGCTTGGCTTTGTGCCTTGACCTCTGACTCTCATCTTGATTTCTGCAGCTAGAGCAACAACACTCTGCCACTAATGCTATGGCTGAGGGCCCTGATACCTTTGTTTCTTCAGAGGGTCTCAGGAGAGAGTTTTGGACATCAGGTAGCTCTGTTAACTTGCCCAGTAACACATTTGCAGCACCGTATTCCAGTAGTGGAGTGCATGAATCCAGCTTGGTAGCAAGTGTGCTTGGTGGTTGAAGTTGCTGCAGCGTTTTGGGGGTTTTGCAGATTTGGCAATGTGTGTGTTGAAAGCTAATCGTTTTTCAGTTAGTGTGCATTTGGCAGAACAGGAAGGAACAAACAGGAACAGTCAGGAAGACCAAGCATGAGAGAGGTTGGTTGGGAAATGAGAGTGGAAGGTGAAGCACCTTGCTTAGGGAGAAGGTGCTGGTCCCTCCCCACTAGGTTCCTGGTAGTGATGTGCAGTCTTCATCTGCACTGGAGATGCCAGCGTAGGGTAGGGCCTGAGACTGGGTTGCACAGCCCTCTGGGAAGCTCACGGTGTGGCAGGGGGGTACCAGGCTGGCTCTGACCCCCAGGGCCTCCCTGAGCTGAGTGACCTAGATTGGATAAGCCTCAGTGTTTTCCTTGTGAAAGAGCACTCTCAGCTGCCTAGTGTCTGCCTCAGGTTGCTGAAAATGTATAAAGTGGAATGCCCAAGCCCTTACCTCTTCAGATAAGTTTTCTTTTTTTAAAAATGGAGAAAATATAAAAGTAGGATAATTAAATGAACCCCATGTTCCCACCATCTAGCTTATTTGATTTGTATTCCCCCCACCCCACACTTTGGATTATTTTGAAGCAAAGCCCAGGTAGATGTATTTTGTTTGATGAATTAACAGAGAGCAGTGGTGCAGAAGGATTGCACTTGCTGATGGTGGACACTGGACTCAGCAGGCAGGTTTGGGTGGAAGGCAACTTGTTGCTTCTGTGACCAGTTCTAGGTGTTGGGACAATACGAGGTTTGATTTAGTAGTTTGCCCGCACTTAGAATTATGTTCACAATAGCATTCTTTATAGATAAATACCCTTTGGTCACTAACAGATTTTTTAAGCTATCTTTCTGACTTCAGTTTTCCCAGGGATTGTTCAAACCTGCTTGGGATGAAAAATGTAGATGCCACTGATGTTTGCATGTCTGTTCTGGACCTCTTGGTTTACAGAATGAGAATGGAATGGGCTTGATGAAGTTCTTACCACAAGGATGTCAGGGAAAATATGCTTCCATGCAATGTAGCTTTTTGAGAGCGCTAGCATTTTTTACTTAAAAAAAAAAAAAAAAATCATTCTTTGGTTGTGCTAGACCTGTTGCTAGTGCAAAATTTAAATGCACATCAAAACCACAATGAGATACCACTTCACACCCATTGGGATGGCTATTATTTTTTAAAATGGAAAATAGCAGATGTTGACGAGGATGTGGATAAATTGAAACCTTTGTGCACTCTTAGGGAAAACGTGAAATGGTGCAATTGCTATGGTAAACAGTATGGTAGTTCCACAAAAAGTTAAAAATAAAATTACCATATGATCCAACAATTCCACTTTTGGTTATAACCAACAGAGCTGAAAGCAGGATGTCGAAGAGATGTTTGTACACCCATGTGCACATTTATAGCAGCATTATTTACAATTGCCAAAAGGTAGAAACAACCCAAGTGTCCATCAGTGATTGAGTGGTAAACAAAATGTGATACAGAGATGTAAAAGAGCTTAGAAAGGAAGGCCGTTCTTTCACATGCTACACCATGGGTAAACTGTGCTGAGTGAGATAAGCTAGACACAAAAAGACAATACTGTATGATTCTGCTTATATGAGATACTCAGAGTAGTCGGAATCATAGGGACAGAAGTAGAATGCTGGTTGCTAGGGGCCGGTGAAGGGCAGATTGGGGAGTTGTTGGTTAATGGGTACAGAAGATCTCACTTTGACATGCAGAGGGAAGGAAGCTGGGAGAGGCGTACAATGGAGGAGTGGCATCTGGCCCTTTGTCTTTGTTCATTTATACCCCTCACTGGTTTCACAAAACATTTGAGCTTTTCTGGGTTTGCCGAGTGAATCTTCCAGAGGGATGTTTCAGACGAAGTCTGCAACTCCAGGGTTGCTTTCCCACACAAGCATTGGCTTTAATCTGCATGCAAAGGTTGGGTAAAGTCCTTGCCTGGATCTGCTTCAGAGATGGATTAAAAGTGAAGAACTGAGACCCCTTCTAAGTAGACTGTAGGCCTGTGTTACACAGGAGAGTCCTCTGCTTGTCCTTTAGTTAAAAAAAAAAAAAATTTAATGACACTCTGCCATTGGCTTTCTCAGTGACTTGAGTACATCTGACCCTACCCTTGTATAATACGTGAATTTGCCACTGTGCAGCCTGTTTCTGAGTGAGATGGGAGCCATGGACATTTGTGCTGTGTGACCAGCGTGGCTTGAGGCTCCTTCCTTCAAGGTCACAGATGCCTCCTGTGAGTAGGGTGAACATGTAATCTAGCTTCGAATCAGGAAACTTT